AGATTACTATGGAAAACTGTACCATCAAGAGAATGTTCAGGAAGAAAGAATTCAACAATACTTACAGGAAGCAAATTTGCCCCAGATACCCAAAGATATTGAAACAATGTTAGAAAGTAATATAACAATGATGGAATTAACAGAAGCTTTAAAAAAGCAAAACATTGGGAAAGCACCAGGTCCGGACGGTTTGCCAGTGGAATTTTATAAGACATTCCAGGAAACATTGAATCTTCACTTATTAGAAATTATGAATGAAGTTATGACAAAGAAGAGAATACCCAAAATGTGGTCAGAAGCATATATCACACTTGTACCGAAGGAGGACACAGACCCACAGCAAGTTAAAAATTACAGACCTATATCACTATTAAATTCAGATTATAAAATTTTTGCTTCAATTCTGGCAGAAAGACTGAAAAGATACTTAAACAATTTTATTCATCCTGATCCAAAGGGATTTTTGCCGAAGAGACAGATTAAAGATAATATGAGAATAATTTTAGATACACTGGAATACTATGAGGCACATCCTGAAAAACAAATGGCTCTGATGTTTATAGATGCACAAAAAGCCTTTGATAATGTGAATTGGCGTTTTATGCTGTAACAATTGGACCAAATGGGCTTCGGTAAAAAAATTACTCAAGCCATCGAAAAGATATATCATAAACAAACTGCAAAGGTTATGATAAATGGAGAGTTAACAGACTTTATAGATATAAGAAAAGGGACCAGACAAGGCTGTCCACTGTCAGCTCTGTTGTTTGTGTTAACACTGGAAGTGCTGAATAGGAACATCAGAGAAGAAAAGGAAATAAAAGGAATGAAAATTAAAAAAGAAGAGTATAAATTACAAGCCTTTGCAGATGACCTGGTATTTATATTAGAGGATCCATTGGAGTCTGCACCTAAACTGATAGAAAAGATAGAAGAGTATGGGAAAGTAGCAGGTTTGAAAATAAATAAAGATAAAACAAAGATTTTAGCAAAGAACATGTTAGTAAGACGAAAGAAAGAATTGGAGGAAGTTTTGGGGATCCAGGTCACAAACAAGGTTAAGTATTTAGGGATACATATAACACCAAGATGTAGCACACTTAAGAAGGACAATTATCTTAAACTTAAACAACAGATTGTGACAGATTTGATAAAATGGGAAAATTTACAATTATCACTGATTGGGAGAATATCTACAATCAAGATGAATGTATTGCCTAGAGTCTTATACTTATTCCAGACAATTCCAATCTGATTAGGGAAAGAATTTTTTGAAGATTTAAACAAAATAGTGCTAAAATACATTTGGCAGGGGAAGAAAGCGAGAATAAAACTTAAATTGTTACAAGATGCAAGAATAAGAGGAGGATTTGCTGTGCCCAATTGGGAATTATACTACCAAGCGACGAGTCTGATGTGGGTAAAGGAGTGGATAACACTAAGGAATACTAGACGTTTGAATTTAGAAGGACATGACCTGCTGTTAGGGTGGCATGCCTTCCTCTGGTATAAGGGAACTAAAACGCAGGGGTATTTTAGAAGACATTATATTCGAGAAGCATTGTTTCTAAACTGGGAGAAGATAAAAAAGCAATATTATTTAAAAATTCCGCTATGGTTATCTACTATTGAAGCTTTTTCCTATCCAATAATATATAAAAAGGAACAAACAGTTAGATATCGTGAGATATTGAATGAAAAGGGTGAACTTAAATCTATGCAAGCGTTGTAAGAACAAGGTGTAAAAATGAATTGGTTTTCATATTTGCAAATACAATCTAGATTTGATAAAGATGTTAAAACAGAAGGTATCTATGATAAGTTGACTGATTTAGATAAAATTTTGACAGGTACTGATGAAAAAGTAATCAAAAAACTTTATGGACATTTGCTAGAGTTTGAATTAGAGGAAGAATAAGTAAAAGAAACAATGATTGTGTGGGGGGGAAATTTCAGATATGGGATTGATTTAGATAAATGGCAAAAATTAGAAAAAAATGCAAGCACCTCTGCTACCTTCTCCTATTTGAGCTTTCTTCCCAGCTTAGAAGAGGGGATGTCAATAAACATAAAATTTTGAAATGGGTGTGCGAGGAGAATGGAGTAGAAATCCATTGGCAAACAGAAAAAAGTCAAATAAAAGAAGTTTTTTTTTCTTTCAAAGGGAGTGGATGGTCCAGAAGAAAAAGAAATGTAGAGGCACAGCATAGCATAACTATGTTGATGTGAATACTGTGAGCCAAAGCAACCCCACCCCCCAAAATTAATCAAGCACAAAGAGCTGATTTGTGTGATCAAGAACAAAGTAATAATCCATGATAGCAACGGATGAATTTCACATGAGAAGGGTTCATGAACTAAGAGAAATTGCTATCAGGCTTCATATTGATAAGAGCAGAAATAATAAGCTTCAAGAAGTGAGGTATTTCTTCATAGCATTGTAGCATGAAATCATCATCCAGAAATGAATTGCCAGTATATTAAATATTATTAAAAAGCTTCACTTGGGGGGAAAAAACCAGCAGGAAAACTAGTGGTTATAGCTTTTGGAAGGCAGGTGGATTCCCTGGATTTCCTTGAATCTGGTACCACTTCACTACAATGTTCAAAAGTTTGAAAGAAGAATTAAGTAGAGCTTGGAAGCACAGAAGGAAATTTTGCTGCAGTATGAAAACATTAGGGCTCACACCACACAAGCCACCGATGAAATTTGATTTTTGGTGTCTTATCCCATCTGCCATTTAGCACCATATATGTCCCACCTTTTCCCAAAATGAAGCAATAACCTCACAGGCATATATTTGACTTAGATGAAGAAATGGACCGTTAAGATTTGATTAAAGCAACGTAGAGTTAATCTGTGATGGCTTTAAAAAAATTGTCCCACGTTACAGCAGTGTTTATGTGAAAAAATAAATACAGCTAACAAAATAGTTAATCCCAAGGATTGTTTTTCTGTCTTCTTAAAATTTACAGCAGTACAGGTATAATTTTTTTCATTCGGGCCTTGTATCTGATAAAGTCCTTCCTGAGCTGTTACATATTTTACTTACAATTCTAATAATTACCAAAGAGTAACCAAACATGTATATGACAACTTAAACATGATTTAAGAAAGCATCATTACAGTTTTACAGGATACTATATTCTTCTTTGGAAGAGATTGCGAAGACCAGACTCCTCTCTAGAGCACTAAAAATCTCCACAGACCGTTCTCATCCTGGTCATTCATATTTCGAACTGTTACCATCAGGGAGACACTATAGGTGTCTTAAAATGAGGACTAATAGACTGAGAAAAAGTTTCTTTTCCAAGGCAATAACTGTCTTGAATCAAACAATGCATATGTGATTTAGTCCTATGTATATAGTGGCATTTTTAAACTAACTTACTGTATGTTTTAGATAGGTTTTAGACTAGGTTTATTATTATTATTATTATTATTATTATTATTATTATTATTATTATT